TTTTGATGAAAAAGTGCTTCTGGTGAGCTTTCTACCCGGAAAAGCTCACCGGAAGCACTTTTTCATCAAAAAAAGATGGCGGCGCCCAGCAAACCAGCGGCCCGGTAGGACTTGTTCCACGGACCGGTACCGGTCCGCGGACCGGTGGTTGGGGACCCCTGCTATAGATAGATTTTCTCTACCATGATCTGTTCCCATCCTGGTCTTTCAGATCTTCCAATGGTGCACTCATTGCCATTGTAACTGAGTCCATTGACCCTGCTGCTGGTCATTCTCTTCTTATCTTTATCAGTTTTAGAGACTTCTCCCGAGAACTATCTCTTTGCACAATGTGCCTCCAGTGAGAAGTCCAGGTTGGTTGGTTCATTTGTTTTCTTGCCCATCAGTGTTATTGTCAGGAATCTTCTCCAACACCAAAATCCAAAAGCATCAATAGCTATTCCTATCCTTCTTCTTCAAAATTTAGAAAGGAGGAGCCAGGGTAGTATTCAGAGCAGAGTGTAGCAGCATGCTGCTTGCTTTTTAATAGCTTACCATTTTGTGCAAATGCAGCAAACACAAAACTATTATTTTGATAGCAGGAGGCAAGTTAGGGTGCTGCCATAAATGTGAACCAAGGGGAATAACATGCAATGTAGACACACAGTTTAGGATCAGGACCTTAATCTAATTCAATCAAATCAAATCCAACTCCTTAAGTTTTTAAAAAGTGTTTTAGGTATCTTGCTGAATTCACGTATATTTTTATACCTTCAGTGAATTACTCCTTTAATTCAGGTTTTCTTGATGCTATTAGTATTTATCAAGGGGGTTGATTTTGTTTGGTGGAGAGTACTTTGAATAAAGTCCATTGAAAGATAGATAGATAGATGAGAGAGAGAGAGAGAGAGAGAGAGAGAGAGATTGTTTGGATCTGGTGAAGATTCATGGCAAAGTAGATGTCTTGGAAAAAGTGGGGATAGCATTGCAGTGGAGATCAGCAGCCAGACATCAACTTTTTACCTGTAAAATCTCTCTGGAAAAGGAAGAGATTTGTTTTTATTTTATTTGATTTGATTTGATTTGATTTGTCAATTGCTTACAAGATAATAGGTATAAGTACAAACATAGTTATGAATACATGGATACATATAAGAAAAATAAAAGAAACAATAGGACAGGGACGGTAGGCACGTTGATACGCTTATGCACGCCCACTTGCACTCTGGGCAGCTGTTCTCATGAAGTGGTTGCAGTTGGAAGTTGAGGGGTTTCAATCAAGCTCATAGCCATAATATAACCTATATGGACATAAGGTTTCCATGAGCCTCATTTTTAACTACTTTTGAATGTAACTAATTTACAGCTAAATAGAGATTTTCAGAGCAGCAGGACAAGAAAATTCCTCTTAGTCAATTATTATTTTTCTGGTTTATAAAGGATTATAAAGGAATGAAGGGGGAAAAAAGTTTAAATACTTAAAAATCTTTTGGGAAAAAAGCTTATTGAAGATAAAATATTAGAAAGTCTACAATAAAGGAGATATTTCTTTTGAAATATTTTTTGTTCATGAAAGCATTTTTGAACAAACTGAAATTAAACTAGACAAAAGAACTAGACCTTTGTGAGAATGTTTTTTTTTGTTTACTACTAAAAAGTACAAACGGATGGTGGAGTTTGCAAAGCAAAAAATAGAAGTAACATTTGTCAGATTGTGATGTGGACTAACTATAGAATATTGAGACAAAAGTATTAAGTGAATGTAAAGACAAAAGGAGGGGGGGTAAGAAGGGAAAGCTTGCCTTTTCTTTTTTTTTTCTTGTTTGATGCACTTTTTTGTGGGGGATAAGAATATAATGGCAACCACCCGAAAATCACCAAGAACAGAGGGGAGGGGAGGATCTCTAGAACAACCTGCAGGGAGAGAAACTACATGTTTGAGCAATGAGGCAATACGTTAGCTGAATCACTTGATGTTAAAATGAGAGCTTTTGGGGAAATAAGAATGGAAGACTTGTAAAGATGAAAGAGGAGATGAAAGAAGTTAAGAAACAGAAAGCTCTGTAAAACAAGATTGTGGACATGCAAAACAAATTAATTGACAAATTGTCATTTTGTAGATGAGTGACTTGAGTGAGTCGTTTTAATGCGAACTGTGCTGAATTGAGGTCTTTTGACCTTCTATAGCAGGGGGGGGCAAACTACGGCCCGCGGGCCACATCCGGCCCGTTGGTCTTTTTAATCCGGCCCGCCGAAGATTGGTACAGAATTAAGGTTTGATGTGAATGATTGAACGATTGCATTCATTTGATTTTGACTTGTAATGACAGGCATTTCGACACCAGGTGGTGCATTAGGCGCAGTGACTTGATTTTGCGGAGATTTTGCAGTTTTTTATATGTATCGTATCTTGTGCTGACCCGGCCCGTCTGTCAAATTTTAAAAGTCAATGAGGCCCCTGAGCCAAAAAGTTTGCCCACCCCTGTTCTATAGCCATATTATCTTTCTAAGTTCTTTATCTCCCAGAAGTACTGAAAAATCCTAATGCAGCAGACCATTTATTTGGATCCTAACCCAAGATTCCTTGCTTACTTTCAAGGGAAAGCTTGGGCTTGGTGGGGTCTGTTTTGCTGTAGAGGACCTATATTCAAGGTCTACTGTCAATCATGGAGGCTGAGTGCCATTGGATTATACTTCATCTCTCAGCCCAATGTATTTTTCAGAATTATTAAGGGGAAAAAAGGGGAAAGGCAGGAGTGCTGAATATAGTTATTTATTTTTTATTAAATTTGTTTGCCACCCATATCTCCACAAGGCAATATTGCCTTGAACTCCAGGACAAAAAAATAGAATATACTCTCCCCTTCAACCATATTTGTGTAAATAGAATACTCAGTTTTGATTGAAGCAGCAATATAAGCCCAGTAAATAAATAAATAAAACGATAAGGCATAAATTGGTAGGAATTACCCTTCTAGTTCTGTTTTGCTTACCTCTTCATGTGCTTTCAAGTAAGTGATTGATTGCTATTCAACTGAAGTTATGAATAGCGCCCTTACTTTGAAGGGGAGGTTCAGGGTCTTGTAAAACTGAATGGACAGACGGACTTTCAAATGCAGTAGAAAGTTCCACTATTATCTTAAAAAGACATTCTATGAATCTAAGGCAGGGGTCTTCAAACTTGACAGCTTTAAGACTTGTGGACTTCAACTCCCAGAATTCTTCCTTCAGTCATGTTTGCTCAGAAATTCTGGGAGTTGAAGTCCACAAGTCTTAAACTTGCCAAGTTTGAAGACCCTTGATCTAAGGTATCCTGGATGTCCATTTTAATAGCAGAGTGTCATTAGCTTTTCTTACGTTCATTGCTGTTTGATTCAGAAAGCTTTTATACCACTACAGTTGCATGCAAAATTATGTTTCAGTTAAGTGAACAGAACTTGACCCAATCTTTTCATGGTAGAATAAATTCATAAATAAACACAATATCCTTCTGCAAATTTAAATGCATACTTACAGTAGTATGTGCAATTGTTTAGAAATTGTGATTTTTTTTAAAAAAAAGGTTATAGGTGCAGAAATGTTTGACCGGGGTGGCTAAATATTTGCATATAATAATCATATTATCCTAGAAATAAGAAGCAGTCAACTTTCCGGATAAAATTAGATATTGGCTAGCTGCATAATAAGATTATTTTATCTAGAGAAGATTCACTTGTCATGCCTTAAGTGTTGTTCTCTTGAGGATAAATGTTATACAAAAAGAGCTCAAAAAACACCATGATCCTAATCCTCAATCCTTATAAAGTCTTCCTCTTTGTTTTATTCCTGCTATTGACACCAGATAATGGTGTAAATTCTGGGCAATTTTTATAAATATCTGTATGAGCCCAAAGAGAAGAAGAAAAATATTGAAACCTTTAAGCAATTAGAAGGAGGAGCCCACCTGGCTGTAGTAGAACCAGGCAAGTATTTTGGGAGAAATTCCCAGGAGTTAGTCAGTCCTTTGGAATTTAGATTGTATCAGAAAAGGGGAAATAGAAGAGTTGAGGGAATGACTTAGAGAGTGTGAGATAACCTGAAGAGATGGAGGAATCACATGAATCCACAG